GTCCGTGCACTTGGACACACTTGTGTTCTCAGCCACTCTTGAAATGCAAACACACCTGCAGAAGAGCTGACAGATATATTTTCACACTTATTATATAAAGTATGAGATACAGGAGCTCCACATCCTGTCAACGCGGTGTTAACCAAGTCCTGTTTGGACATATGTGTGTGTCTGTGTGCAGATGTGTGCAGCTGCTCTCAGGGAAAGGACTGAGTTTGCTTTCCACAGTTAGGTGTCAACAACCAAATTTATGAGCTAATAAGTAGCGGGACGATTGATGGGTGGATAGAGAAAGATGAACAATGGGGTGAAAGATGGAGTTAAACAGAAAAAATGAAAAGAAATTATCTCAATACATGTGAACAATTAGGACAAGTTTCCATTAGTACATTGGTCAAAATAAGACATGGTGGCCAAATGGCTGGAACAGATATAACATAACAAATGTTTATGGTTTGTTGTTCCATTCTAGGCTAATAAATTAATTAATTTTCCCTAAAAACAAATTGAGAAAGTAAATCTGACTATAATGCAAAGCAACGTTGTTCTGCACCCACACAGGAACCCGGTCATTGAATAAATCATGATATAAGACGATTAAAGTTGTCCTGATGCAGAAGGAGGGCAATTATCTCAAAACAAGAGCAAATCTTAATTTGCCTTGGCATCGGAGAGGCTAAGGACTAGCATGGATAAGCTGGTATTAGTATTGGAGAGGCTAGCGACTAGCATAGCTTAGTAGTGGAAAGGCTAGCGACTAGCATGGAAAAGCTTAGTATTGGAGAGGCTAGTGACTAGCATGGATAAGCTGGTATTAGTATTGGAGAGGCTAGCGACTAGCATGGATAAGCTGGTATTAGTATTGGAGAGGCTAGCGACTAGCATGCCTAGGCTGCTCACCTACTTCCTTAGACACAAACTTGTTTGAATAAAGAAAATTTTCTCAACACAAATATTTGACATACAAAACCTATAAGCAACATGCACTGACAAGTGTTCTTTAGACATAATTTACTGTTCAACATGATGCCAAGCATGGCTGTGTCCAAAACGGCAGGCCGGGTCCTCCGAAGGTCGAATTTGTCGGCTGCATACGTCACAGCGCCGCGACGAAGGACGTCCMAARCCGAAGACTCCTCCGATGCGGCCGACAAATACGTCCTTCCTTTGGCCCGAATCGAAGGACAGGTCTGATGGATCCTTCCCGGCCCAGCATATCCCATAATACATTGCGGCCTGACTGGAGATTTTTTTATGCTAGTAATGGCGGATGAAGCGAGAGAAAAGAATACATTTTAAATAAAAATATGATGATATAAAAATTTAAAAAAATTAGYGGTTGTAATTCTAATACTTTTATCATTTGTATGGACATGTTTTTAAATATTATTTTTTCGTCAGAAAAAACGTGAAATAAACATGAACCTACAGCGGGTCAATTAGTTCTTCAAATGATACTTTTAAGTTAATTTTATAGTTTTGTGATATTAATGCTAATATATTGATATTTTTCTAATTTTGATTTAAGTTTGCTTGTTTAGCGTCGTCACAGTTGCTAGGTGACATGATGTACGCCGGGGTAAGGAGGGGAGGCTAGACCGTCCAAATTCACAGCCTTTTTCTTTCCGGTCTTCCCGGTCTACCAAGGACCCGGCCCGCCGAGACCGGGGAGTCTGGGTCCTCCGGAGGACCCGTCCTGCCGTTTTAGACACAGCCTAAGCCTGTCCATGCTAGTCGCTAGCCTCTCTGATGCTAACACWAATGAATAGTCTTCTCATTTCCCGGCACCGGCCTCTCAGTTATCGGGGGCAGCTGCTCAGTTAGTGGTGCCGGTCTATCATTAATCAGATCAATATCTGGTTTAGGAACAGATATAGCCTCTTGCTACAAAGATATAGCAACCGCTGGTTGTGCAATAGTCTTAATTTTGGCTCTCATACAGCGTTATACCTTTTTACCATAACTGTATACATTAGCACTGGTGACAGAAATAGGAGGACAGTGCTTTACTAAACTGATGTCCACATCAAACTCACGTTCTTATTATTTCCACATTAGCATATACTAAAATCCATAAAAAATGACAAAGCACAAAATATATGACATCATGGTGGAAAGTCTTGTAATGTCTCTTTACAAACACCTGACCAGAATCAGTCTCTGGCAGTGAAGAATATCACATATCAGCCAGATGTTGCGCTAACAGAAGGATCACCTCTGTTTTTCACAGAAAGCTCAGGCTCAGGTGTTGAGGATGTGTGGGAATCAGGTTTACAGCAGGGCAGCAGCAACAGCAGAAGGGCAGCGGGTTTAAATTAAAGGTAGATTATCTTCGTAGGCAAGGAGGGATTAGATCAGAGGTCTGCAACCTGCAGCTCTGGGGCCACATGTGGCTCTTTGGTACCTACGCAGCGGCTCGTTGAAGCTTTGACCAAAGCTAACGCGAGGTTACATTTTTGTTTTTCATACTCACAACAGAAAAGACTAGCTTTAGCAGTTTTCATGTCAATTTGTTTGCAAATACGTGATCAATAACAGTAAAAGGGAAACATGTTGATTAGATCCTGGTAGTAGCTGGTTGGCCAATTCAACTATCCAACTCCCATTAAAGACCTTTAAGACTAGACTATATAACAGTTTAATTAAAAACAAACTAGTTCAGCTGTACTTTTAATAAAATTTGGAAAAAAATATCTATAGTATTTTTCTTCTTTACATGAATATGTTTCTTTCTTTTATCCTAAAGTGTAAAGAATAATTAACTGTTAATAAATGTTAAAATTTATTATATATATATCCTCGAGTACCCAGGTTTTTCCTTTATTTTTCAATTTCCCTAGCTATTTAGGAATAACAGAACCTTATGAATATAAAAATATTTTTTAACAATTAAGAGTTAAAAACATAAATCTATATTTTGTTTAAAATAAAAAAATGTAAAAATCTAGTTCCTCTACATAAGGACAAGCAGTCTAACAAACATAGAAATAAAGACGAAGGTTCTCAGGAGGTTAAATAGATATATTTTTAAATATATATTTAGAGATTTTTTATTAAATGTATAATTAAATAAATAATTAAAATAATTATATGATAAATAT